GCACAGCGTCATCAATCAGTCACGGCTGTAAATGCGAATAAACTACAGGTTGTTTAAAAATGCATTAATCGGGAATTACAAATATTGGCACGACTGATATAATGCACACCCTTTGCCACATGGCATACAAAATTGCATTTCAGTGTAACCACTCACGTTGAACCTGGTTCACTTATTTTATGGCCATATTGCTGTATTTAAAAATAACGTGACTACCCTTACTATCCGTGATGCGCAGAGAACGAATTCTATGACGGTATAGTTTAATGCCAATAAAAGCAGCCAGCAACAGAGGCCGATAAAGCCAATTGCAGCCCCAGAATGTTCTCAATCGAACGCGAATAAATTGTGTGCACATTCAGTCAAATTCATAACGAACCGCATGAGCTCAAGGGTACAAGGTTCCTCGTGCGAGTGCGCTAACCTCCGTGCCACCACTCCTCCACCCATCGTTAGTGACAGTCAACTGAGTCAACCCCCCGATGGTGGAGCTTTGAAAGCCGAACAGAGTTCACAAGAAGAAGTCACAAACAACGAACACCTCTTATGGAGAGATCATACTACGCAGAAAGATCCCTGGCTGGGATCTTCCTGCGAGGCTTCTGGGCCACAACCGCTGGACCGCATCCGCTGCACCACAACCCATGGCACCAGCAACAGATGCGACCATGCTTGGGAAATTGATAACTCTCCGTTTAATGTGTATAGACTGGGGTCGCCACCCAGAGCAAAACCACGGCACATCTAATGACTCGGTGATCGATTCGCAAATACGAAGCAGGCATCATCACAGCCATACCAGATGCGTTTCTGCGTACGTCTGGAACGCTCTTCCTTGCGATATTAGGAAGCCACTGGAACTACGCACTTTTAAATCTAGATTGAAAACTCTTTTCTTCAGAACTGATTTTTGTGTTTATTTTGTTGTCCTACTCCCGCACCTCCGATTAGCATTGTTTACTACGTACGGTGCGAAAGAAGTTCAACATACACGCATACATACCACTCCACTACTCCCGACGCAATTATATGGCTCAACCACCTCAACGTAAAAGTATATATGTTGCTTTGCATCAACATTGACCATATGAAGAATAAGAAGACGGTAACAGCGACATTTACTACAGTTACTGCAGAAATAAGCAACATGAGAATTGGACACAGAAGCTTATTCTCTAGATAAAGTACACTGTACGCGAGTTGTCTTGGGCACCATTGTGGCTATGAGATGTTAACTACCTCGCCTGGTATGCAGGAGGTCGTGAGTTTGATCTGGACCCTGACACCTGCTGCTGTATATTTGGAGTTTGCGTGTTGTCCCCGTGGTCGCGTGGATTTTTCTCCGGGTTTTCCTTCCACAGTTATAATCAATACTCTTTGGGTCTTTCGGTAAAGTCACGTAGATAGAAAAAAAATCGCGAAGTTTCGATCGCAACACAAGCAATCGTCCTCAGATGAAAACATAGAATCAACGTCACGCGTTTAGACTATTTGGCTGATATACATATTCACGTGCTGATAAACCACTTCGTTGAGCTATCATTTGTGGCCAGATCGCTTCTGAAAAAGAGCTATATCGGCTCAGTGGGCCTTATCTGGTAACATTACAAAAAAAGTTAAAATTGTACTCGCCTGTCCAGAGTTTGTGCTGCACGACCACAATCGCCCTGCCGTGGCACGACCGCCACCTTGTGGCACACTCACGCCAGGGCACACCCGGCCGCGCCTGATTGTGCCACAGCGGTTGATTGCAACACTTACACTCACCGCCACAGCAATCACAACAACAACAATCGCCATTCGCCACTAAGTGGCGGTGACGTCACCACGACGCTTGTGCCAGGCCATGTGCACCCTGAGGCCACGTGAAGTGTCGAACGCCCGCTGGCAGGAGGTCACGGGGCAAACCCAGGTGCCACGGGTCGACTGACAATCACACACACACGCGCACGCACACACACGCACACACACACGCACGCACACACGCACGCGCACGCACACACGCACGAACACGCACGAACACACACACACGCACGCACACACACGCACGCACACACACACACGCACGCACACACACGCACGCACGCGCACGCACACACACGCACGAACACGCACGAACACACAACAACAACAACCGCCATTCGCCACTAAGTGGCGGTGACGTCACCACGACGCTTGTGCCAGGCTATGTGCACCCTGAGGCCACGTGAAGTGTCGAACGCCCGCTGGCAGGAGGTCACGGGGCAGACCCAGGTGCCACGGGTCGACTGACTGAGATGACTGGCTGATGCACCACCTGTGCCCCCTACTGTGCCAACCTGCTGTGCTTTAGCCACCCGGCGCTCCGCTCGTTGTTGTGAGCGTCGCTCCTCCGCCCTCCGTTGTTGTTGGAGGGCGACTGCCTCCAACTGCCCAGTAGCATCCTTCACGAGCCTCCTCCACAGAGGCCGATCTTGACACCGCTGGTACCGGTCATCGGCAAGTCCACTCAGCTCCACGTCCTCCTGTACCACATCACTCCATCTCTTCTCTAGCCCGTGCCGCGCCCGCTTAGCCCCCTCAATCCGGCCAAACAAAAGCTGTTTCGGCATGCGGTGGCTGGGCATGCGGGCTACATGACCCAGCCATCGCAGCCTTGCCTGCCGGAGGAGCTCACCAATGGGACCCTGCCCAGATCTTTCAAGGATTTGTGAGCTCCTCACACAATCCAGTCTGGTTAAACCCAGGATGGATCGTAGGCAGGCCAGCCTAAATGTTTCTAACCGGCGAAGATGTTCCATTAGGGGGGTCCACGTTTCGCAAGCGTAGAGAAGGGAGGGAATGACCGTGGCCGAGAAGACCTGAAGCTTAGTGCGGAGCGACAGACCAGGTAGCTTCCACACAGCGTTACGCAACCGATGAAAAGATATTGCCGCTCGACTGATTCGGAGTGAGACCTCTGCTGTTAAACTGGAGCCAGTCATAAGCACACTGCCCAGGTATGGGAAACTCTCCACTCTCTCCACAACTGCCCCATCACCGATTGGGAGTTGTGGGGGTGGAGTGTCCGATGGTACAAAATACCCAGGTAGGTGCTTAGTTTTGGTGGGGCTGATGGTAAGGCCCCACGAACACACACACACGCACACACACGCACACACGAGCGTCGAACGCCCCTCTCTGTGCGTTATACAAGAAGCATCGACAGCAGTTCCTGAAAAACTGAGTTGGAGGGGGGCACGGGGGGGGCTTACCCCCCACCCAAAACTGGACACCTTTATTTATTTATTTTCAGTAGTGTACAATTAAGATCATAAATAAATGCATTATATGCACCCCCGATTCCTAATGTGAGGGACAAAGCGAACCCATGCCCCCCCCCCCCCCTCAAGTCAAACTCTGTATATGACTGAACCGTAGTCCTCTTGTTCTAGGTGACTATTAAAATAATATTGAGGAACAATGTCATCGACTGACAAGGCAACGGTGATAACAGAGATAGACGAATGTGGACTGGTTTCATCCTTATTCGGACTCATCAGCACAGTGCCAAAATATGTGATTCTGCTATCTTCTCAAAAAGTTTTAATCTGTGGGTAGATCATTATTTGTCACAGATTAAATAGCAGGCACGGGAAAAATTTCCTGCTTGAGGGTTGTGGAATCCCATTGTTGGGCACGATGAAAACCCTTGGCCACTATCACGAAGTGGCACAGGATATCATGAACCCGCGACGGAATGATAAATTATGTTAATGCGGCGGGAAGCCAATCAGCGTCAAGGGGCGGTCTAATGTGGGCTTTGACGTACTCAGTAACGGGCACCCTACACAGAGATCTAGAATTGTGCAATTTCCTCCACCAATTCGTGGCGTCCACTGTTTAAGATGTTGGCACAGGACAGAGAGGAGTGGAAACAAATGACGAAATGTGCAGTGGACATCTCCGGGGGCTATCTGCCCATGCATGGATCGCGATGGTGACTCGTGGCGGCCAGGAGGGGGCAGTGTCGTGCCATGCCCGCAGGGGCACGCCCAAAGCCACGCCGTTCCCACGACTCCAGAACGACATTTGCGGATGATGGCCGGGTGGGCTCGGAGGTCAGAGCACTGCCGAACTGGCAACGCTCTGATATCCTGCATTCAGAATCCAGACACCATACATTATTACATCGATCGCAAGTGCACCTTGGCAGTATGTCTTGGCCTGACCACAATGCCTGTTCGAGTAATCATCACATACGGAAACAGTGTTTTGCACTCAATTTAACTAAAATCCAGATCTCGAATGAAATGTACGGGACATTACAGCAGTTTGAGAAAGTGCAAACTTTACTGTCTAACTGATTGTGTCCTGTTATTGCATAGGGCAGCAATACATTCGGGGGCTAAATGTACATGTTATCCATGAGGGTTGCAGGAGAGTGTAGTTTTGCTCTTCCTCCGTTAAAGGAGAGCAGTCTACAGCGGTTTACTCTAGGTCAATAGTTTGGGTTGCATGGCCACAATTCCACTGCTGTGGGTTGTATCTTTGAGCTTCCATTCATGACGATGTTGCGCATCGACCTCTTTATGTTCTGATAGCGGTGGCTAGTTCCATCAATGTCAAAACCACGAGGTTGAGACGTTTGGCTCTCGAATGAGGCGTTCATTCCGAACTTCCGCGTTGCTCCACTCTGCTCGCCACCGTTCTACCGGTTCTGGGTGGGCTCCTAGAAGGGGACCCGGGGACTTGAGTCGGAGGCGAGGTGCATCGTTGAGGTCTTGATCGACGGGTGACGGATACAAAGGACATTTACATTTTTCTGGATAAGTCCTGTGAAGAAAATACTCCCCATCCACAGCCGTTCTCCAACACACGTGGCAACACTGCTCCGAGAGCTTTGCAAATGGACTTTCAAGAGCACAAGTGGGTAAATTTTTTTGTTAAACGTCCCTCTAAAATCGATCACAATCTACGAATTTATAAATTATACAGCACAAACCTGAAGACAGGTGAGAATGTCTGCAACACACAAGAGATCAATGTGCTCATATCAATCTTTATTTAAAGTAAATGCAAAGGTACCACGAAGTGCACGGTCATGGGCAGGTGTCGTCAGATGCGACGCTGCCAGGATGGAGCCGCAAACCGGAGGCCAACTGCAACCCTCCCGCGTGTGCCAGCCGACAGAAGTTAACGACTCGTCGCGCGAGAGCAGACGGGAATGAGCCAAACACGTTTTTAAAAAAATGTGTGCCGCGCAACTAGACACAAAAGTAACAACAGCACGTCTCTTGGTATGCAACCGCAAATTGTTCGACCTCGTGTACGCAAATGGCGACCATTTGTGTTGCATAGCGTGCGGTGGGCTTGTCGACTCTTCACTGCAGACGCGGTTCCCCGTCGCACCAGCGGGGTGTGAATGTCGCGTCGTTTCATTGTGGCCATGGGGCGTTGCTTGATATCCAGTCGTGATGTGTGGTTTCGTGTCTGTATGTGCACACTATTAAAGTTGGGCTCGAGATAAATATCAACAAAACAAAAGCAAAAATAACAAAGTCTTGTACAAGTTTGCTAAACAACTGAAGAGATCTTGACAGGACAACTGTAAATCACATCAGAGTTCATATACACGGTTCTCTGGAAAAACCGAACCTATTAAACGAAAGCAATGTGCAGAAAGGATTAAGTTTTTACCGAGTATATTAACTGCTATAACACAGGGATCAGGAACGTGGACAACGACGTGACATAGAAAATGCAACAGATGCTGACAAGTACACGAATGGTGACGACGGACAAGACGGACGGAAAGGGGAGCACGTGGATTAGAGGACCCACGTCAGTCGTCATCATCATATCGACCGCCGAGAGGCAAGTGAGCCTGGGCGGGGACGCGTCGCGAGAAGGGAAGACGGTCGGCGGTCGAGACTGACGATGGAGGAGCAGCCAAGGGAGGGGGAGATGGAGCAGTAATGTGACCGGCTTGCGCGCGTTTGAAAGTGCGCCCAATTGTCCAATTACGCTTGAATTGTTCCCATGTGTTGTACGTATGCCCATGAGCCTGCGATGCGGCAAATGTTTGCCTGCGAATGCACATTTGCCTTTTGTGTTGTTTAGCGTTGCGAGTGCTCTGCAAACACACGGCTGTGTGCGCACCCGGTGATGCCCATGTGTAACGTCTGCTCATGGAAAGTCCCTCTGCTCCAATCATCGTCTCTGTAAAACACGTCTACAAAATGGAAATACCATTTTACCGAAGTGACTTTTGGAGACTAACCAATGAATAGAAAGTATACCAACCATTTAATGTGTTTAACATATGTAATTAGATGCTTAGTTTTTTATAATGTTAAATATTAGGCATGTAACGATCCACCTATTAAAATCAATTCTTACACTCACAATACGTGCACCGAATCATGCGTGTAAGCATCAATTATATTTGCGTGTAAGCATCAATCGTGCAACTTATGTACAGATGTCAACGTTGAGGCTAATGGTGAGAACGACGAGACAAAAAAAACGAGAGACAATACGGATGAGAAAGTCAAAACGACACAACAAAGGACAGACGCTCTCGAAATTCAGCCACGACAATCGTCGACAGCGGCTGCGGGCGGGTTGGGTGTGGATCGTTACAAGCCCCTTTAACGATCCGTGGCGACGAGCATCGTACAGGACGGGGCAGCGGGCAAGCCAACACGGCTCACTCCCGGCGCTCGCCGCATCAGAGCCCCGCTGCTCCTGCCGCCGCCGGCGCCGCCGCCGCTTCTCCTGCCGCCGCCGCCGCCGCCGATGGACTCGCGTTGCCCAGCAACCTCCTCCGCCCGGCCTCGTAGTCGTCCTCGTCTACGTTCACCAGTAGGCGGATGGCCTCGTGCCCCACGGCCTGCTTGAGCGAGTCAGTGATGAAGACGCCCTTGAGGGCCTCCAGAAGCGACCCGTTGAGATAGTCGCGCCAGAACGCGTCGAGGTACGTGAGGGCCGAGAACTTGATGTCGCAGATGATGGCGCCAAGGTCGCGCGACTTAAGCGTCGCGACGGCCTGCGAGAACCTCTCGAGCTGGCGCTCCAGAGGGTCGGGCTTGTTGGAGAAGACGCTCTCCTGCAACGCGGCGTCGTGGTGGCAGTACTCTGCGCGCACGCGCAAGCGAATGTCTGCCGCACACAACGCACGGAATTTCAGCGACCGTTCAAATAAAACTCGAGCAAAACAATTTTTTTTTATTTTACCAGGTCTGACACCCCACTGAGCTACGTAGCACTTTTGTAGAAGCAACCTGGCCATCACAAATTTTAGCTCAACGAGGTGTGTTATCACGTGGAAATTTATAGCAGCCAAATAAGTGCATGATGTTGATTCTAAATGTCAAGGGAAATAGCGGAGGACTCGAATAAAAATCCACGCAACCATGGGGAGAGCATGCAAACTTCAAATATACAGCAGGCGTCAGGGTTGAAATTGAACCCACGACCTTCTGTATACCAAGCGAGGTACTTAACATACCACCGCGGCACCACTGTGATACACACTTAATCTGATTCATGATCGGTCTCCTGGGTTAGATCCAGTGAGTATAATGTCCAATTTTAACAACCCGTGATGGGGCAAACGTGACAATTGATTTGGTTTATCAGCGAAACTGCAGCAGTGTTGAAAAGCATGTAAATATTTAGCTACGTAGGTTTCGCTGGACATTAAATCCAGCATTATCACGGTGTTGACAAAGCTCAACTTTGGTGTGAATAAGCTTCCTGATCCAGGTTCTTAAGTAGGTGCCATGTCATCATCAGCACACCATGCACGTGAATTATGAAGCATTGGTTGCGAAAGCTTGCATAGAAAATTACTCACTTAATCCCCTTTGTTATTTTCCCCAATTTTATCCACATTGTGCCCCAGGTATATCCCTTCAGATCTCCCTCATGTTGGAGAACGGCCCACGGAAGCGTATACAGAGCTACCTCTGAGATTCCTTCTTAAAAGTAACCTCTGGGTCACGCACAGTACAGGGCAGAACTTCAAACTCAGTTTGCACACGAGAGGGGTTTGTCAAGTGACAGTAAAGCCAATTTTTTTTTTTCTCAAGAGAAGGAATTTATCCAAATTAAATGCAGAACCAAATTTGTGTGATCGCGTGTGTGAGTGCATGCGTGTGAGTGTGTGCGTATGCGAGTGCGTGCGTGTACGTGTGTAAGTACGTCCGCACTCGGGAGCGCATCGTCGCTCCGACTTACCGCACGTGCGCTTCTCGGTGCCATCGGCGGCCTCTCTACCGGCTCTGCCGTGCATCTGCATCCTGGGGAACCGGCTCGTACGCCTGCGCACACGCACGCCTGGCGCCGCGGCCATCGCACAACAAACGCACCCCACCCCCGCGTCAGCCTCGCCCTCCCTCCTTAAACGCAACCCCCCTCAAAGGCCGCTAGTGCAGCGGGGTCAGAGAAATAACTTGCGAACAACCATCATCTCAAATTTTGATTTAAAGCTTTCGTGACTGCAGTAATTCATATTCTTAGTTCTTTCGGTAAAGTCACGTTGAAGGGAAACAACAAAATAATAAAATATATATATAACAATAAAAATTCTCACGACGTTTCGACCATAACACAAATGGTCGTCTTATGCAAACCAACACACCTGAAGACGACCGTTTGTGTTATGGTCGAAACGTCGTGAGAATTTTTATTGTTTTATATATTTTATTTTGTTGTTTCCCTTCAACGTGACTTTACCGAAAGAACTAAGATTATGAATATAACCATCATCTCATGAAGCACGAGGGACGATGTCAACTTTGTAGGCAACGGTTAACCGGTCATTCAACGCGGAGTGTACTTTATGCAGCACGTTATTATCACCAGTCACTACGTCGATGTAATAGAGGCAAGCCATGATGACCTGTCATCCCGATTGGAAGTTGCTGTCACTGTGGCCCACGAGGGGGAGCTGCGATCAGATTTGTTTACATTATGGGAAACCAATTTTTATCGCAGGGGATGCTGTGGCTGGCTGTTGGCGGTGACGATTGCCCTGAAGTTGCGCTGGCAGATCGCGGCCGTCAGGGTTGCGGGAGACATTCAACATCGCAAGCGGCATTCATAACGACACAGCTTCCAAGGCCCAGAATTCACACAGCGCCTGTCCGATCCACACAGCTGCTCCTCTGCAGGTTGGAGAAATTACCACAGTTCCCCATGCTGATAGGAATTCCACACTCTGCCACACATTATGGAATCTCAGTCCTTGACATAATTGATCGTTGTAGAGATTGGACTCAAATAAGGCAAAATGACTTGTAACGTAACAATAGGAGACACTTTGCCTTCAACCCGCAAGCAGCTATTTATGTTTCTGCCCAATTAAAGTGATCAAGCACGTCCGTCATTACGGACAAAAAGCACTCCCATTTGCTAATCTTCTGAGAAATCTACTACCGATCCCATTCACAATCCCATTATTTCCCAAACACGAGTTTTAATGCTACGTGACATCTAGACTCGTCAGTGACAACGATCTTTTTTTTTACATGTCATTTCTCACGTGACGTACAACAGTGGAGATCCTATCGAACCTGGCTCTTGTAATAGGAATGTTGAATTTCCGTCACTGGTTCGGGGCTAGACATGAGCCCCCCCCCCCCATTGCTTACTTGAGCAAGGAGACAACTCCTCCGACTCCGACTCCGACTCGAGGCACCACGGTGGCTATGAGATGTTAACTCACTCGTCGTGGGTTCAATCCCGACCCTGATGCCTGCTGTATATTTGGAGTTCTCTGATGCCTGCTGTATATTTGGAGTTCTCTCTCCCCGTGGTCGCGTGGATTTTTCTCCAGGTCCTCCGGTTTTTCCCTCCACATTTGGCTGCTATAGAACTCCACATAAGCCACTGCATTGTTATCATTTGTGGCCAGATCGCTCCTGAAAGAGAGCTATATAACTCAATGCGTCTCACCTGGTAAAATACAAATATTAGTTTAGTTAAGACTCAACGAAGCTCAAGCCAACCCTAAGAGGATCAGTTCATTTCTGTCTCAGTTCGCTTGAACAAGACTTGTCAATCTGAAATTATGGATTGTAAGGTTGCCTGAAACGTTAAACACTGCACTGGACATTCAATTAACGGGGGTTTTTTTTCTTACAAATTGCCCCTCAGGTTTAACTAAATTACTTCCGTGTCCAATGAGCTTCTGCAGTTTTTTGTGCACAATATGATTTAAACACTCATATTGACATCACAGGGCACTGAAAGGCGAGTGGAGGCATGTAGGGGCTTATTCATGCTGTAAGCAACCATTCGCTTGCATTGGTGCAGAGGGTATGGTTTGAGACAGCATCATTACCCATAAAAGTCCACCTGCAAGCGCATTAATATTCATAAGCATGTATCTACTTATGCCTAGGAAGCAGTGCGTTGGCCACCTTTCACAAGCTAGTTTAACATGTAGGCTTTCGCGACCCATATCATGCATAAGAGGTTTTTAAGGTTAGATTGTGTAAATATGTGTCGTTAAACCCGCCTGATGAAGCTAGTTGTAATTACTGCAGAAATGTCGTACTCAGATTGTCAATGTTGTAGCTTGGTTCTCCAACACACCAGCGTGCTGTACTAGTGACTAATAGGCGTGTTCTATTTACATGACAACCCTTACTAGTTGGCTGTGTCGGGTGGTGGCGGGGTTAACGAAACATTTATATATTTACGCGATCTAACCCAAACAACCTCTTATGGATTTCACAAGCTCATTAAAATTCATGACGTGCGTTATATCATATGCTTCATCCTGAAAATTAATACGTCCATATTTATCATTTCCAATCATTTCCTCAGGCATCAGGAGGCAGTGTGCACGCACTGAGGAGCCAAAATACGGGAACATTATTCGGAGAAAATGTTGCGTGCCACCCGTGTTCGGCTGTCTTGTTGCATCTGCCGGCCCTGTGTTTACATGGGAAATCCATATAAAATAGCAATATTAGATTTTACAAATACAAGAGGTCAGAGGTTACCATTGGCCGAGTTATTCTCACCTACCCCGCCCCCTCACACAGCTCCGCCCCCACCACGCGCCATTGGCTGAGGTGCATTTCCTGGTGCTGTCCACTGTCTGTGGTTATGAGTCTCTCTGGCGAGTGGGGAATCAATGCCACCTCGTGGTACTTTTCTTTGTCATTTCGACAATAAGGAGATGTTTTGTAAGGTTGTACGGGAAAATCCAATGCGCAAAGTGCCCGCGATCAATCAAGTGATGGGCGTTCCTCGCCACGACTGTAACGTTCTGACCCGCCCCTACTGGACGTCTGTGAAAAAGAGCTTTAGAGCTCACCGGATTCCTCCAGTATAAATAAATACGCTGATTCCGATTCTTACTACTACAGGCTTTAACAACACTGCCTGCTTTGGAGAAGCTCATTTTTTTGAATGATTCTTAGTCACCACCTAGACAATAATCAGGCGTTGATTTAACGCAAAACGAAAAAGGCAGCTCACCCCTGGACCAAAGTCAAGCAAACAAATCTATTCAAAAAAAGTTTGTCCTGCTGAAACGGATCCCTGGTCGATAGTGAGTAAAAATGCAGACATTCAATCAGTTCTGACAATAGCTGTGAATCCAGGAATTAGGCGTCTGTGTTCTGGTGGCAGAAATGATTCACACCGTACGTAGCCAACCGTGCTTATCGAAGGTGCGAAGGACAACAAACTAAACACAAAATGCAGATCGAAATAAATTAGTTTTCAACCTATATTTTCAAAGTGCTTAGCTCCAGTGGCTCTCTAATATCGAAAGAATGTTCCAGATGGCCACAAAAGCGCATTTGAAAGCGCGCGATACGGTGACGGTCTTTGTTCGATGGTTAGCTAAAAAGGGATTTGTATTGAGAATGTGAACTTTACTTGAAGAAGACAACTGCAGTTTTGGTAAAAGACCGAAGCTGACTGAGAATTGTGTCCAGGTTAGAACTACAGTGGAAAGGGCGGCCACCCTAATTGGCGGATCGTTTGGATCTGTGAAACTTAAAAACCTGCTGGGCGGGGTGAGGTGGGGCAAGTAGATAACGTGACCCCATCTGTAGGAAGCTTTAGTTGGTATCTCCTCCTATGGTGTGGTCGCACTGGGAATGTGTGGCAAAGGATTAATGTCGAGTGTTTATAACGGTGTTAAAACAGACAAGGCGATGATGGTGATTGCGTGCGGTGAAGCGGGTGGTTGCGGTAACACCCAGCTTAAGGACACCGAGGCCTCATGGTGTACAGTTTTGCAAATTTGAGAATGGAATGGCAGAAAACCAAAAAAAATATTCTCTAGGAGCCACACACCGCAGGCTGTGTGTAACGCTGCCCTGACAAGAGTTTTAAACTTTGTTGAGTTGAAATTAAAAAAAATATTCCAATTCAAGTTGACGTGCTCTCCTGCATTTGGTGACATTACTATTCTATTTTCGTAAGGCAACATGTTCAGGAGCTAGATGCCAATGTTGAGGTCTGCTAGCCATGATGAGAGGGCTTCAGCAGAGATTTTGCGTAGTTTCCTTCTCTGTTGAAGGAGCGCAGACGATAGTGGATTACTATATGGTCCATCGTTTGTGTTGTATGGCCACAATCATATTACCATGGTTTGTCATTAATTTTCCATCTATGCAGGTGATGGGCCCGTTGATGTCCTGATGCGGTTGATGGTTACACCAGCGTCAATCAAGTGACATCTTGAAATGTGTGGCAGTGACATCACTGTGACACTACAATAAAGTGCTTGACCATGACATTAAATGATTTTTTTTAATCAACAAAGTTGCATTTGCATGCTGGTGGGCACCCCGGGACAATGCGGCTTGGGCAGGTATCTACAAAAATCTGTTCCCATTTTAAGTCAAACTCAAGGAACTGCATTGCGCATTGGCAGTGCCATTCAATGTACGAACCAGAGCAAGCCTCACAATGAACACAATCAACACAACCTTCTACAGCAGACGTATTGTACCACAAAGCAGCATCAATTGTCGGCTGAGACACATGTGCGACGTATGTAACATTTCTCCCCTACCAGTTTCAAAAGTGAACATAATTCAAGGGGTGATTCTTTAATTGCCACTATTGTGGCAAGTGTAGGCAACTACTGAGATGTGAATTGACGAATTCTGTTTTAACACAATGACCTATGCACAATAAAAAAAATATATTCTTTTACGTCACGCGCAATTTGACGAACGTGCTGTGCGGGGAAAGATTTGGCAATGTGGGTGAAGTCATGAATGTTTACACCCCTCGTTGCTTCTTTGGGTTTCGCGGTCGGTGCAGCGCGAGCTGCGAGTGCGTTACCTGCGCGAAGGTTGCGGGAGGGCGGCAGCGGAGTCACAGGCTCCTCTTCGCGCGCCTCGGCCTGCTCCAAATACACTGCATACCGCACAGAGCGCCAGGGACACACGCACCCATGCTTACAGAAGCCACGCAGCAAAGTGCGCAGAGAAGCGTGCAACGTGCACTTACGGGGCGCTACTCAGCACACAGCTCTTCTCTTGTAGCCACACACCTAAGCTGCGAGACTTGAGAGGTCCCACATGTTGACTTGTGGCTACATCTATGACATGTAAAAGACTTTTAAAGTGACTTTCATCAACACTCCAGTGAATGTGGTGCACCTGTTGCATTTCTTTAACGTTGCCTAAAAGGCACCGTTTTTAAAATATTATTTAGTCTGTCCACCCCCCCCCCCAGCCAATTTATTACAACTGTGCTATCAGCATCATGTCATGAGGTGAAGAATCCCTTCGCAACATCTCACAAGTGAACCGGATGTGTTGTGTTTAACTGAAAGGACAGTTTGTGCTAACATCGGGTTGATCTTGTCAAAAAAACCATGATGCTTCGTGCTTTGGTCTTATCGTCCGTTTTTGTTCAAGTATCTTGTATGCTCTTTAAGACATAACAGACGATGAACTCTCCAGTAGAGATGCCACCAAGCATCTCCAAAATCACCCACAAGAACAACATTGTCACAAATCTGTAAAGTCTGTTGACTCCGTAACAAGACATTGTGTGGCGTCCCCCCTTCACTACTTCCACCACATAACATCCATTTCACTTCAGGTGGAATGGTGGGTGGATAAATGGTGTAGCCATTCAAATTGCTGCGTGGACATCCGTGCACCACTGATGCAACTGCCGTGCCAGGGAATCTGGCTTGCAAGTCCAGTGGTCTAAACCATTCTCATCATGTCTGTCTTCTGGTTATAGTTTGGAGATGGGTTTGTGGCTCAAAGGCGCGGGGGGGGGGGGGCTAACGCCGGGTCATAGAGCAAGGCCGCATATCTGAAATTCCGAGTCCGGATCTGTGCTTCACAACCGCCCATGATTAAACCACATTTTCCATTGTACCAACGACTGCGCAAAATGCAACAAAATGACGTTTAGATTTTTTTTCACTTAATTCCACCTTTTCAAAATTCACAAGTTATTGAGCAGAGGCCAAAAGGCCCACAATATCAGGTGGCCAGCAATAAACGGCACGATCAAAATTGTAATAAGAGCTGTTTCTTGAATTGACAAAGTTATAACAAATTTTAAGAAGATAGACAAAGCGAGGGAATTTGGAGGTGCAGCAGTACAAGGTAAGATGCATAAAGAGAAACGTTGTGACTTGCAGTGTGGTAGTTGAACACAGCAGAGACAAAATATAACAAAACAGTCCTCGAAATGTGTGGAAGAATCAAAGTTCACGGACACGATAATCACGGCAGCAATAGAGGAGTGATAAGGAGGCGAATGACTTTGCTGGTGAGCCAAGGGACTGCAGGGAATAAGTGGGTGCTGGATAATCCAAAATGTTTTTTATGAAGGAAAAAAAACATTGTTTTTCATTTGATTGCGCCTGCAAAATGTTGAAGCTATCATTATCTACCGGTTGTTGACTACTGTGATGCTGCGTACAGATCAACTACTCGTGAAAAAAATTACAGACTAAACCCACTTTATCATTCCGCTCTTCGATTTGCACGAGATGTTACCATACAGGACCCACCATTGCGACTTCTACTTAGAATCCACTTCCACGTCACTTGATGCGAGAAGAAGTCTACATTGGGCCATGTTCATCCATAAAATCCTTCAATGGCAAATCTCTTTGGTTCTTTCAGGAAGGTCACGTAGTTAGTGGCAAATCTACACTATACTTCGCTAATTCATGAACCCAAATGTCAAAGCCAAGAAACCTAAGACGTCCATCTAATTGTATTTTTAAATATCCCTAGACCAAGAATTGGAATAGGTGAAGGAGCCTTTGCCATTAAAGCACAAACATTTGGAAACAGCAACCCTATTTCCTCCCTTAACATCGTAAATATTACTTCACGCAATATTCCGAAGCAGAAGATTAGCGCTGGGTGATTTGTAACCTTGATGCTTGCCGTGTATCGATAGTTCAATTGTAATTTGCTATTTTATTGTGGGACTACTGCTGTGTTGTCTTGGTGTGCTTTGGGACTGTTTTTATAAAGTTTTGCTGCCTTGCTCGAAGCTTGCATTTAGTGTTGAAAAAGCAGCAGGTTTTGCCTGGTAGGATCGGGATGGATTAGTTGTATGTGTTTGGGTTATTTGTTTACTTTCTTGAACTTTGCACTCCTATCGTGATTATGTATTGTTTGTTGTTGTAACGTTCTTACCCACCCCTACTGGACATCTGTGAAAAAGAGCGTTATAGAGCTCATCGGATTCCTCCAGTATAAATACATATTCTGATTCTGATATTGTACTTGTGCGATTTTTATTTGCACACTTTATTTTTAGTTACTTGTTTTTCGTGATGGACGTCTTAGGTTGACATTTTCTCCATTTTGCACTGTTATTGTTCGTTTTGTCTTGCTTGCTGTTGTAACTCGCTGACCCCGTGCCCCTACTGGACATCTGTGAAAAAGAGCTTCATAACTTATCGGATTTCTGCAGTTCAAAATAAGTCACCCTGACAGCTTCACGTTGAATTCTATCAAGTGAGGGTCAGGGTAAGATCTGGATTGCTCCACCCCAGACACCTCCCGTGTCCCCCGCGTTTCTCCCCGACTGTCACCACCCTCACGGTGTCCCGGTATAGCCTCCACCATGTCGGTTGTGTCCTCCACTCTGGCCAATATCTCCCGTGTCCCCTTGTCACCATTCCTTTGTACTTCCTCTTCCACACAATGGCCGTGTGTATTCTGCACCCTGGTGGTACCTGTGTGTGTGTCCCATGCCACGTCTAACCACATCGATCCATGTCCCCCCCACACACCTTCGTCACGTCACCTGTCCCCATGTCCTCCTGTCCCGCTCTCCACACGCCTGTCCCCATGTGTACTCCATCATCATCACCATGCCCCGGCTGCTCCATGTTCACTCACCCCACGTCTTTGTATCCCCGACTCGCCTCAGCCCGTGTCCCCCCATATCCCCCATGTCCCCCCATATCCCCCATGTCCCCCCACGTCCCCCATGTCTCCGTGTCCCCCCCACGTCCCCGTGTCCCCCCCACGTCCCCCAGGTCTCCACGACCCCCAGGTCTCCGTGTCCCCCCACGTCCCCCACGTCCCCGTGTGTCTCCACGTCCCCCAGGTCTCCGTGTCCCCCCCACGTCCCCGTGTCCCCCCCACGTCCCCGTGTGTCTCCACGTCCCCGTGTGTCTCCACGTCCCCGTGTGTCTCCACGTCCCCGTGTGTCTCCACGTCCCCCAGGTCTCCGTGTCCCCCCACGTCCCCGTGTGTCTCCACGTCCCCGTGTTCCCCACATCCCCGTGTCTCCACGTCCCCCAGGTCTCCGTGTCCCCCCACATCCCCGTGTGTCTCCACGTCCCCGTGTGTCTCCACGTCCCCGTGTGTCCCCCACGTCCCCGTGTCCCCCCACGTCCCCGTGTGTCTCCACGTCCCCGTGTGTCTCCACGTCCCCGTGTGTCTCCACGTCCCCGTGTGTCTCCACGTCCCCGTGTGTCTCCACGTCCCCGTGTGTCTCCACGTCCCCATGCACCCCCCCCCCCCCGCCATGTCCCCGTGCAGGCCCCATACCCTGCGCGCTCGCCCCGTATGAGCCCCCCGCGGCTCTGTGCGCCAGGTCGAGTCTGTTGGCGGCACGCAGAATCCTTCTGAGGGCGCGGGGCTCCCCCTCGCCCAGACGCCCGGCCCGGGCCAGCGCCAACAGCGCCTCCTCGCCGCTCCAGCTGCCGCCGCCGCCGCCGTTGCTGCCCGGGTCCCCCCAGCAGCAGCGGCCGCCGTCGTCTCCGCCGGCGGGGCCAGCCCCCAGGTCGGCGGGGAAGCGCTCCCGGAGGGCCGCCACGTCCTGCCGGGACAGGCGGCCTCCCAGGGAGCGCAGCGAGCCCAGCGGCGAGCAGAGGCCGAGGCGGCGAGCAGACGACTCCTCGGGCCACGGGGTGGGCGACGAGGCGGAGGAGGAGGAGGTGGTGGTGGTTGTTGACGATGAGGAGGAGGCCGAGGCCATCTTCTGCGAGGAGGACGCGGGTCCGGACTTCCTCGGGGCAGTCGGGGGACGGGCGGGGGAGGAAGCTGACGAGGAGCGGGCGGAGGAGGAGGGGAATGAGACGAAGAGATAATGAGGCGGTGGACGAGGGGATAAAGAAGAGCGAGTTGATGAGCGAGCAGGGGAAGATGTAAAGAGATGCGACGATATGAGGAGTGACGAGGGGGTAAGGGGGGGGATGACGTGGAGAGACGACAGCTGAGGGAGGTGCGAGGCCTGGCAAGGAGAGGGAGGAGGAGATGGGAAGTAGCGGTGTGGGGCAGCAGGAAGGGGCGCTTGTGTGGAGTCGCGAGCCGGCTCCGTGTGGCAACGAGAGTGTTGTTGTTGTTGTTGGGGTGTTGTTGTTGGGGTGTTGTCACTGCTTGTGCCAGTTACTGTACCGCTTGTGTTCGTGTCATTGTTAGTTGTGCTCTGCTCGCTAACAACACTTGCCCCAACAGTCCGTTACGGCGATACGGAGGATCGTCGTCGTCTTTGTGAGTTACTGTGTGGGTTGTTGGTGTGTGGTTTGTTGGTGTGTGGGTTGTGAGTGACTGTGTTGTTAGCAATGTGCACATAACCTGGCACAGATGTCGTAGTGACGTCACCGCCACTTAGTGGCGAATGGCGGTTGTTGTTGTGTGAGTTACTGTGTGGTGTGTGTGTTACTGTGTGGTGTGTTACTGTGTGGTGTGTGTTACTGTGTGGTGTGTGTTACTGTGTGGTGTGTGTGTTACTGTGTGGTGTGTGTGTTACTGTGTGGTGTGTGCGAGTTACTGTGTGGTGTGTGTTACTGTGTGGTGTGTGTGTTACTGTGTGGTGTGTTACTGTGTGTGTTACTGTGTGGTGTGTGAGTTACTGTGTGGTGTGTGTTACTGTGGTATGTGTGTGAGTTACTGTGTGGTGTGTGAGTTACTGTGTGGTGTGTGAGTTACTGTGTGGTGCGTGTTACTGTGTGGTGTGTGTGAGTTACTGTGGTGTGTGTGTTACTGTGTGGTGTGTGTGTGTTACTGTGTGGTGTGTGTGTTACTGTGTGGTGTGTGTGTTACTGTGTGGTGTGTGTGAGTTACTGTGTGGTGTGTGTGTTACTGTGTGGTGTGTGTTACTGTGGTGTGTGTTACTGTGGTGTGTGAGTTACTGTGTGGTGTGTGTGAGTTACTGTGTGGTGTGTGTGAGTTACTGTGTGGTGTGTGTGTTACTGTGTGGTGTGTGTGTGTGTTACTGTGGTGTGTGTGTTACTGTGTGGTGTGTGTTACTGTGTGGTGTGTGTGAGTTACTGAGTGGTGTGTGTGTGTTACTGTGTGGTGTGTGTGAGTTACTGTGTGGTGTGTGTGAGTTACTGTGTGGTGTGTTACTGTGTGGTGTGTGTGTTACTGTGGTGTGTGTGTTACTGTGTGGTGTGTGTGTGTTACTGTGTGGTGTGTGAGTTACTGTGTGGTGTGTGTGTTACTGTGTGGAGTGTTACTGTATGGTGTGTGTGTTACTGTGTGGTGTGTGTGTTACTGTGGTGTGTGTTACTGTGTGGTGTGAGTTACTGTGTGGTGTGTGTGTGTTACTGTGGTGTGTGTTACTGTGTGTGTGAGTTACTGTGGTGTGTGTGAGTTACTGTGTGGTGTGTGTGAGGTACTGTGTGGTGTGAGTTACTGTGTGGTGTGTGTTAGTTACTGTGTGGTGTGTGTGAGTTGTTGTGTGGTGTGAGTTGCTGTGTGGTGTGTGTGTGTTACTGTGTGGTGTGTGTGAGTTACTGTGTGGTGTGAGTGTGAGTTACTGTGTGGTGCGTGTTACTGTGTGGTGTGTGAGTTACTGTGTGGTGTGTGTTACTGTGTGGTGTGTGAGTTACTGTGTGGTGTGTGAGTTACTGTGTGGTGTGAGTTACTGTGTGGTGTGTGTTACTGTGTGGTGTGTTTGAGTTACTGTGTGGTGTGTGTTACTGTGTGGTGTGTGAGTTACTGTGTGGTGTGGGTGAGTTACTGTGTGGTGTGGGTGAGTTACTGTGTGGTGTGAGTTACTGTGTGGTGTGTTACTGTGTGGTGTGTGAGTTACTGTGTGGTGTGTATCTGTTATTGTGTGGTGTGTGTGAGTTACTGTGTGGTGTGTGTCTGTTACTGTGTGGTGTGTGTGAGTTACTGTGTGGTGTGTGTGAGTTACTGTGTGGTGTGAGTTACTGTGTGGTGTGAGTTACTGTGTGGTGTGTGAGTTACTGTGTGGTGTGTGTGAGTTACTGTGTGGTGTGTCTGCTACTGTGTGGTGTGTGTGAGTTACTGTGTGGTGTGTGTGAGTTACTGTGTGGTGTGTGAGTTACTGTGTGGTGTGTTACTGTGTGGTGTGTGTGAGTTACTGTGTGGTGTGTGTGTTACTGTGTGGTGTGTGTGTGTGTTACTGTGGTGTGTGTGTGTTACTGTGGTGTGTGTGAGGTACTGTAGTGTGTGTGAGTTACTGTGTGGTGTGTGTGAGTTACTGTGTGGTGTGTGTGAGTTACTGTGTGGTGTGAGTTACTGTGTGGTGTTACTGTGTGGTGTGTTACTGTGTGGTGTGTGTGAGTTACTGTGTGGTGTGTGTCTGTTACTGTGTGGTGTGTGAGTTACTGTGTGGTGTGTGTCAGTTACTGTGTGGTGTGTGTCTGTTACTGTGTGGTGTGTGTTACTGTAGTGTGTGTGAGTTACTGTGTTTGTGTGTGAGTTACTGTGTGGTGTGTGTGAGTTACTGTGTGCTGTGTGTGAGTTACTGTGTGGTGTGAGTTACTGTGTGGTGTTACTGTGTGGTGTGTTACTGTGTGGTGTGTGTGAGTTACTGTGTGGTGTGTGTCTGTTACTGTGTGGTGTGTGTGAGTTACTGTGTGGTGTGTGTCAGTTACTGTGTGGTGTGTGTCTGTTACTGTGTGGTGTGTGTTACTGTAGTGTGTGTGAGTTACTGTGTGGTGTGTGTGAGTTACTGTGTGGTGTGTGTGAGTTACTGTGTGGTGTGTGTGTGAGTTACTGTGGTGTGTGTGAGGTACTGTGTGGTGTGTGAGGTACTGTGTGGTGTGTGAGTTACTGTGTGGTGTGTGTGAGTTACTGTGTGGTGTGAGTTATTGTGGTGTGTTATTGTGTGGTGGTGTGTGATTTACTGTGGTGTGTGAGTTTTTGTGGTGTGTCGTGTAAGATGTGCAGTATATTGCTTGCGGGATGTAGTGTCGTCTGCGAAGATTGTGTAATTTCGAATATCGTGTCGAGTACTTGTGTCGTGTTATGTCACGTATCTACTGTCGTATGTGAAGTTTATTTTTGTGTGATACTCTACAGTGTGTGAAGGTATGAGAGTTGTCTCGTTTTGCAGTGTGTATGCTGTGCTGTGTAGTGCCTGCCAGGCTATTTATCTGTATTTGGGGTGTAGGATATATGTATGAATAGTTTGTGTCAGCAGTTTTTATTCTAAGCATGTACGTGTAGCATTTACTGCGTATACCGCACGTGTGCACCCAATGTATGCAGTGGTTGATTTACCGAAATATAACTGCGGGGTCCAATACATTGGGAACGTTAAAGACCGCGCGACGTCATTGCTGTGGCGGCTGCCAAAAAGTCCCAGAATTTTTCTAAAATGCCACCGCCAATTACTCAATTGCGAGGAATGATTGCACGGCGCCACTGCTGCCCCACAAATATCCCAGGCAACTCTTGACAAAAGGGGACCTTCACTCCATCCTCGTCTCGTGAATTCTCCTCACCTGGTGAAAAAAACCCCCTCTAAACTTACTCTCAATATGCGGTGTGCGTCGTACGTTTATGCGAGTGTATGCAAGTGCATGTCACGTATTTGGTATGTGTCTGTGTATATAGTATTTAGAATTAACTTAACGTAGAGGCTGTACTGTACAATCTGTGTATATTATGTGCATAGTTTGTGTGTAATGGCGTTCTTAGTTTACAGTGTGTGTAATACACACTGGTTGAATGCCTCGTGTGTGCAGTGTATTATACGTATAGTGTACTGTGTGTGTAGTATGAGAGAGAGTAATGTAAGATCCTAAATATTCGGAAGATATTGTGTAGTAAGTGTACGGATATGTGTATTATAGAATGTATAGATAATGCCTTGTGTGTGCACGATGAGTGTATTAAGAGTGTGAGGTGAATTGTATAAAGTGCATCTGTGTAGTATGTATGGCATGTGTGTAATATAGATTTGTGTACATGTAGAATACCTCCTGCGTGTGTAATGTAATGTACAGTGGGGTGATTGTGTATGGTGTACAGTGCGTGGTGCTTGAGTGGTGTGTATAGTGTCGTGTGTAATGTCGACTAGATTACCTTGTGTGATTGAAGGTCCGTGGTGTGTATTGTGGTACTTGAGGACTGAGGTTGCGTGGTGTGTATTGCGTGGCGTGTATTGTGTGGTGCTTGAGTCGTGTATAGTGTGTAATGTTGTGTAATGTAGACTGTGGACTACCTCGTGTGATTGAGGGCGAGTGGAGCGTATTGTGTGCAGTGCTTGAGCAGTGTGTGTAGTAGTATAGAGACGGTGTGCGCGCGCGGGGTCAGTGTGATGAGGGGAGTTGAGTGTGATGAGGGTGAGTGTGCTCAGGGTGAATGAGGGCGAGTGTGGTGAGTGAGTGGGTGAGGGTGAGTGTGGTGAGTGTGCTCCGGGCGAGTGTGGTGAGTGAGTGGGTGAGGGTGAGTGTGGTGAGTGTGCTCCGGGCGAGTGTGGTGAGTGAGTGGGTGAGGGCGAGTGTGGTGAGTGTGCTCCGGGCGAGTGTGGTGAGTGAGTGGGTGAGGGTGAGTGTGGGCGAGTGTGGTGAGTGAGTGGGTGAGGGTGAGTGTGGGCGAGTGTGGTGAGTGTGCTCCGGGCGAGTGAGGGTGAATGTGGGCGTGAGTGGGTGAGGGTGAGTGGGCGAGTGAGGGCGAGTGTAGTGAGTGTGCACCGGGCGAGTGAGGTGAGTGAGGGTGAGTGAGGGCGAGTGTGGTGAGTGTGCTCCGGGCGAGTGTGGTGAGTGAGGGTGAGTGTGGTGAGTGAGGATGAGTGTGGTGAGTGAGGATGAGTGTGGTGAGTGAGGATGAGTGTGGGTGAGTGAGGATGAGTGTGCTCCGGGCGAGTGTGGTGAGTGAGGGTGAGTGAGGGCGAGTGAGGTGAGTGAGGGTGAGTGAATGTGGTGAGTGAGGATGAGTGTGGGTGAGTGAGGATGAGTGTGCTCCGGGCGAGTGTGGTGAGTGAGGGTGAGTGAGGGCGAGTGAGGTGAGTGAGGGTGAGTGAATGTGGTGAGTGAGGATGAGTGTGGGTGAGTGAGGATGAGTGTGCTCCGGGCGAGTGTGGTGAGTGAGGGTGGACACGCGAGCTCGCTCTCGGCTCTGTTTACTCGGCACGTGCCGGCGCTTCCGCTCGCCCCGTGACGTCACTGCCGGTTATTTAATCGTGACGTCACGCGGCGCTCCCAATATTATTTCGTGTGGTGACGTCACTGCTTTCATCCGGGCTCTCGCGGCGAGTCCCGCGATGAAGCGCGCGGAAAAACGTCACATCCGGGTGACGTTGACAAATGGTTGCTGACGCGTGACGTCACTACCGCCCCTTGGCAATGGCGTCACTGGCCTGTCTCCGGCCTAAGTGACGTCATCAGGACGTGCGCACTCGTAGTCACGTGACTCGCTGACGCGTGATGTCACTGTCGTTTGGCGAAGGCGTCACTGGCCTGCCTCCGGCGTGAGCGACGTCATCTGTACGCGCGCACTCGTAGTCACATGACTCGCTGACGCGTGACGTCACTGCCGCCTCTTGGCGAAGGCGTCATTAGCCTGCCTCCGGGCGTGAGTAACGTCATCGGAATGCGCGCACTCGTAGTCACGTGACTCGTGAAGCGCGAGCGGCTCGCGCGCGGTTTGACCTCGAGCAGCCCCACGTGAGCCTAAGGAGCTCTACGTGACCCCGAGCAGCCCCACGTGACCCCGAGCAGCCCCACGTGAGCCCCGAGCAGCCCCGACGTGACCCCGGCGGGCATGGCGGTCGCGTGGAGCTGCGCGTCCCGGCTGCTGCGGGGAGCCTCGCGCCTCCTCCACCTTCACCCCGCGTGAGACGAGACGCGGACGGGCGTGACAGGAGGCCGGCCCACACGGCCCTCTGGCCAGGGTCACAGCTGGGTTCAGAACATATCTCGAATCAGACCCTGGGTTTCCTACAGCCCTGGGTTCAGAACAGCTGGGTTCGGATGAGCCTTAATTTCTGAACAGCCGGGTTCGGATCAGCCCTGGGTTCAGAACTGGGCTCGGATCAGGCCTGTCCTGAGCAGCACCCTTGTACAGCTACTACTAAAATGATGTCTGATTACACGGAGCTGGGCATTACACAGTTCTGCTGCCAATGCACGTGTTGTCTTAACGGGCCGCTGTTGCCGATAGAGATGCAAGTCGTGTTGTTATTCAATGCACCGAGTCTGGCCGTTGATTATTCTCATCCACACATCAGTCCATGATTATCGGTGATGCAGTGAAGTCACCTGACCGATTCATAATAATGCAGTTATTGGGCCACAGAAAATAGAGAGGGAGAATTGATTCAAAAGTCAAGTGTCCACTCAAAGGAGCATGGGGCGGTGCTCACGTTAATTGGCAGCCCTGAGCTAATACGATATAATTCCACATTCCTATGGCGGGGGCAAATACTGAAATGGCTGTTTAACACCATTACCCGTGTGTGTGCTTGTGAAATCTGTGCCACCAGGCCTGGCTGTGCCACGCTGCACACAGCAGAGCAGCGGCCCGGCCTCTTGGCGTTGGTCAGCGCGGCCCTGCCTATGCGGTGAGTCACTGAACAGCTCGCCGAGAGCAAACTAACATCATGACAACATGCATATATACACCCAGAGGAGCAACCGCACTAACTCGAAAGCTCAAGGTGGGGCGACTTTGACTCTTCACAGTGCTGAACGTATTACCAGCTACGTACAGATTTGCCCTGTCCCCAATTTTCTTCCAGACTATGTTCATGTTGTGATGTCATGGGGCAACGAATCCGTTCCGATCTCTTGGAGAGCAGAACACAGCCCTTTGTGTTCGAGAACCAGCCCACAGAAGCGGATGTCATAGAGCTACCTCTTGAGGTCCCTTCAAGTGACATCTGATCCACAACACGAGCGGCACCACTCGCCCACCCATCCTGCTGCAGAGTTACGTTCATTGCATGATGGCCAAACTGATATTTTTACTTCTCAGAGTTTGGGAATTTTGTCAATTTAAGTGCAGAACCAAATTTAATTGGATGCTTTTTGTGCAGTCATTGGTACCAGGCTGAGACCGTCAACTTCACTCAACTTGACAACCTAGTTTTATTCACAGACAGTTGGCTTGATATGAACCCACGACCTCACTGGTACCAGCTGAGCACAGAACCTCTGAGCCGCCCAGTCACCCCGTTTGCCAGCTATTCCTGATGCCGTGCCACTGTGCTGTCTGCCACGTGAGGGCAAAGTCTGTTGCCAGTTAAGGGCCCCTCGCTGCATTGTGATGATAAAAAAAATTGTTGAAAACAAGGTAAATAGTCACAACATGTTACCTTTGGCCCTGATCTCAGAAGTTAAGCAGGATTTTCCGCCTGGTTTTGTGTTTGGATAGGAGACTTCCCCTAACACCGCCTGTTGTAGATAAGGAAGTGCGGGATGGCCAGGAGATGGCAGCACTGCGTTTGGGTTGCAAATACAGATTGTGCAGATGTTTATAGACATTGGGTAGGTAGCTCTGTGTATGGTAGGTTATGTACACCGACTAGAAACTCTCACTGATCGGTGTTGCGAGGCATGTGGTCAAATAACCTCTGAGAATGAATGACAATGCACAGGGAGGATGTCATGTCGGGGGAATGAAGGGGCATTGTTGCAGTTATTGGTAAGGGCGAGGCAAAGTGTCTGCCTGCTCAAACGAACAATTGGGTGGTGTTTATCATCAATGTTGGGCGTGAGTGGTGGAAAGTCCACATCCCATGGTCACTGGACATCATCATCTGTAATAAATTCACTGCTAGATGGTAAAAGATTGCTGTTTGAGAAATTACTTAAATTCACTATATTCAGCCATAAAATGTGTACCTGGTGGGATGTGTAAAGTCGCGGTCGTGGTGCTAGCCACCCCACCCTTCATGGGCCGGGAAGCTAAAACACAGCAAGTTGGCGCAGTAGGGGGCACAGGTGGTGCATTTTCCAGTCACCCCATGGCATCCGAGTCTGTCCTGTGACCTACCAGCGGGCGTTCGACATGTCACCAGGCCTTAAAATGCACATAGCCTGGCACAAGCGCCGTGATGTCACCCCCACTCAGTGCGAATGGCGGTTGTTGTTGCTGTACGCGTGTGTGTCTGTGTGTCCATGTTTGCGTCTGTGCAGGGCAGAACCAAAGAAGAAGAAGAAAGCTGACCCGAGACGAGAGCAGCTAGTCAAGGAGCGACTCAAAAAGAAGCTGAAGCGCATGGAGAAGGTCCCAGCCGAGCTGATCCCAGTGATGGACTTTGTAACCCCGAGCAAGTACCTGGACGAGACGAGGTGCTTCCCGTGTACAAACTGTAGAGTGTGTACGACGTGTCAACGACGCATGGAGGATGTCCGACAGCCTCACATTGAATCTGTTTCCAATGAACGTTTTTGCTTTGAATATGTGCGGTTTGAGTAAAATGTTTGAAGTGGTGAGTGCTGATTAAGTGTGGGGAGTACTGATGTGGCATGATCGCACGATTGGGAACGTGAAATCCAAACTATGGACCATGTATTAAACTACTATAGTCTGTGCTGCTTCAACATGAAAAAAAGAGCAAAATGACGCAAATTCACTCTGCCGTAGCCCTCTCGTGGTGGCCAGCAGCAGATCTCAACACTGGCAGCTGGCTCTTGAAGAACATTGCTTCCATACGCAGGAATATTATAATATTGATGTGAGTGCGAATGGTGAGTTATAATGGTGAGTGGTTTGGTGAGTGGTGGTGAGCGGTCTGTGGTGAGTGCTAACGGAGAGTGGTGTGTGGCGAGCGGTGGTGAGTGCTAACGGTGAGAGTTGTGTGGTGGCGAGCGCGAATGGTCAGCGGTGTGTGGTGAGCACTAAAGGCGAATCGGTGTGCGCGCCGCAGGCGGCGAGAGAATCCGAGCCTGAGCCCCGAGGAGACGGAGCGCCGGACGCTACTTGGGAAGGCGTGGTCGCGCTACAAGGCGGCGCAGCACCGCGCCGAGATGGCACAGATCGCGCGCGTGCGCGAGAGCCAGCGGCGAGCGCTGCTCGAGCTGCAGCTCGAGTCGCCGCGGCTCTACGAAGCAGCGGTGGCGCGTGACCCTGCGCTGTTCCCCCTGCACCGCGATGGGCCCGCGTACACCCCAGCCATCCCCGGGTACATGGCGCCCGACGGGAAATACGTGGACACCACGCCGCGTTACGTGCAGATGTGAACCCCGCCACCAGCGCAGTCGCGTAACTGGAGGCTGGCGGGTGATGCCACCCGCCCCCCCCCCCCCCACACTGTGAGCGGCACACGCACTCATTATTGTTAGGTTTTTTTGGGTTGAATCGCGTAGATATGTGTCGTTAAACCCGCCACTACCCGACACAGCCAATTAGTAAGGTTTGTCACGTAAACAAAACCTGCCAATTAGTTACGAGTTCAGCACACCGGTGTGTTGGAGAGTAAACCCACAACATTTACATTTTGAGTACGACGTTTCACCGGTAATTACAACCAGCCTCATCAGATGTGTTAAAACTCATTACTGTGTGCCGGTGCAATTCTCTTGTTTTAAATATATTGTTGTGTATGTATTCGGAGACTCGTGCGTCTTATTTCTGAAGTTAATATTTGTAGACATGCATATTTAATTTATTACTATTGGTGTAATGATACATCGAACAATATAAAATACTCAACACGTTTGTCAACAACACTGCCACCAAAGGAAATATACAACCAGTGACGTTTTGATAAATGGCCCTTTCACAGCACGTTCCGTGGAGACAGGATGTCACAAATTACATATTCAACACGGTCACAGGTGCAGACTAAAGAGTCCCAGATCAGCCTGATAAAATTAATCATTTAAAGTTTTCTTTCCAATAGTTTGAAAATTGTGAAATGACCACAACATGGGTGACACGATATGTGCATGCCTTCTGTGTCCGTCTGTGTGACGGGGAGGGAGGGCATGATAACTCTTGTGAAGCTCAAAATATGAACAAATACTTATTGTTGATAATCGGGACTCGCCCGATTGAAAATCAAGTCACAATGATGGAGTGAAAAATGGCAGCCTTCACGCGGCCCACTGTTCATTGAGAAATCAACGACGAATCCTATCAATGTGGCGATCAAACATCGATCTTCTAGTCTCCAGAGCATCAACACAAGCCATGCCAACATCCCTCTTCAGGGCCTGTTGAAACCAGATAGGCCTTGCATGAGGATCCTCCAACTGATATTGAGGGACTCCTGGAGCAAAGTGCGAGGATCTCGCGAACATAATGAATTCCCATAACAATGATGTCCTGATGCTCCAAGAAACCCACGTCTTGGGTGCCCTACATTCCAGTCGCTACCATCCATGTGTAGGGACAGTGCGGGGATAGAGACAGTGCGTTTGTGGAAACAGTGCAGGTGCAGGGACAGTACGTGGCCCAGTGGCCACGTGGGGTAATCGCAGAAGGAGAATCATCTGAAAATTTTGGGAATGGGCTAGAAGGTTTGAGAAAGAGGGCGTGGCCGGGGGCAGAGTATGGGCCACACCAGGAATAAAAGGAAGCGAGAAGCAAGGGTCGGGGCTGCCTTGGGATTGGGGTCGACTGTCTTCACACCGTCGCTGTCTTCACGCCGTCGCTGTCTTCGGGCCGTCGCTGTCGTGGCATCGACGCTGCTTGCGTGCCATCCCTGGCCTCAAGTTACCTGTGCATTATCCCTTGCCCAAGTGATCTTTGCGTTATCCATATTCAAGTTGAAGTTACCTACGCGAAGCGCCCTAAATAATAAATAAATGAATGATGCCTGCGCAAATTGGGTTGTCCGAGAGTCACTACAACTGGTGTTAAAAGTATGTCACGGTATTCAAGGAAGAAAAACCCACCTGCATCGACCTCGGACAAAGCCGAAGACGGTGATTGAGCCCCTGGGTGCAGCGGAAGTGGCGGTAGAGGCGGAGGAGGAAGGGGCTGCTGGCCAGCAGCCACGGGCCGTGGAGGGGTAGCGAGAGGTGGCGGGGAAGCTCGACCTGCTCCTTGCGCAGCTCTGCCTGCTGCACGCGGCGGGGCCCCGTGTAGGAGACGGGGCGGACGGCGACCGCCGTCGTTTGTGTAGCGGAGCCCGCGTGATCGACGGCCGCCATTCCCCACGCAATTAACGGCCGCCATTTCCCTCGCGGGGGAGAGGACGCGGTCAATGGCCGCGATTTCGCCACCGATCCCCAGGTGGCTGCGGTGTCAACTTCGTTCTCAATGGCGCATGAAGTAGTAACGGGCCGACCAAGAAGGCTGCCTCCCGTCAGGGAGTTCATGGCAGCGGGAGGCAATTGGGCCGCATTCATCCGTCGTTTCGAGGCGGCTTTCTCGTCCATCGCATGGACAGAAGACGAGGCTGTGCGGGCCTTACCAACGGCCCTCGATGACGACACTCTTGCAAGATTTTGGACCATCCCACCAGAGAAGCGGGCCACTCTTATGGAGAGATGGCGGCCGTTTTTTATTCTCCATCCAACGCGCGGAGGAAGTTCTTGTAGCGAAGGCGAGGGTAGGCCGAGACACCCCTCGCTTACCGCAGTGCACTGATGGCGCTTGGGCAGGCGGCGTACTCGCGCATGGATCACGCGGCAATAGACTGACAATGGAAAATTTGTTGGTGCTGGCACAAGAGATGGGGATTGTGCTGCCTATCGTTGAGGAGGAGACACAGACGTCCATGTGGGTGGCCAGATACCTGCAGGCCCACGAGAACATAAACAGGTGGACCCAGGTAGCGGCGTAATCAAGTGAGCCTGTGTCGGGCGACACGTTGACAGCTCAAGCAACAAGGAGCGACCCAAGGCCAGCGGAGGAGGATTCGGAGCTGGGGAGGGAGATGGCGGCGGCGGCGCAGGGGTGGCCTTGACGGTGAGGGGACATCTCAAGGCAGCCTCAAGGTTGAAGGGACCAGCAACCCCTCTGCCACACGGACCCTCCATCTCCTGCTTCCGGTGCAGAGAACCGGGACACATCATGCGGGGATGCCGGGACGGACAACGCTCGGCGATTGACGACCTCACTGACATCCCCCGTCCTGCCGACGACCGCTTTCCAGCCCCAACAGGCAAGTCGTGACAGACAGGACACTCGGCCCATACCACCACCACCTCACGCATCTAGGCCTTCACGCATTCCGTCTGGCATTCTCACCTCCCCTTCCTCGGTTGGAGCGCACAAACAGCGGGTTCATACCATGGGTGGGTGGCCAAATTCCAGCACTCAGTGGAGGAAATTGGCGCGCCGAGTGATAGCAGCCACGGCAGGTTCATTGGCAATAGTTGGTTTCATCCAGGGAATAGAGGCACGTGTCTTGATTGACACAGGGGCCTCGGCTACTATCATCTCAGACGTCATTTATAATGTTGCCCTTAAGGAATCGTTGCGTTATGCCGGTGGAGAATGCGTGTGTTGCGGCTAATGGGGGGAGCATGGGCATTGTGGGGCGTATAGAGGCATGCGTAAGAGTAGGGGAAATTGAGATGTCGGGGCCCGTTTTGATTTCAAAATGCTGGCAGTGCCTTGCCTCTTGGGGACACTTTTTGAGCAGGATGCCCTTTAAATTTTTGATGGATCAAGGTTGTGTCGTGATGCTGTCGGGACAACGGGTGTTCTTTTTGAATTCCCCGTATAGGAACACCGTGGCGAACGTTACTGTTCAGGCCTTGCCGAGGGAATCTACATATTCTGCCAGGCACACAAATGTTAGTCCCTTTGCGCTACCATAAACGCCTCTAGTTGGCTGACCCCATCTAACACAGCAACCTGTGGCCTTGCATTAGTGGGGGCGCAGATAATCCTTCGGGGAAATAAGGAACCTTATTTTCAGGTCCTGAATGTAGGTCTTGGAACGGCTGTGGTTCAGGCGGGTACAGTGGTAGCTCACGCAACAGCGGCATGCTGTGAGGCTGTTGACTCCGAGGCGGGGGAGGTCATAAGCGCGGTTTTACAGCGAGCGGAGTCAGATAGGACGTGGGCAGATAAATTGTGGAGAAAACCCAAATATGTCCCATGAACAACAGAATGAACTACGGTCGTTGCTTAGAGAGTTTTCCGACGTATTTTAGTCAAGGCAAATTTGATATTGGGCGAATTTCCTTGCTGCAACACCACATCGATACGGGTAACACAGCTCCTATTCGGCAGAACTCATCGGTTGAGTCCTGTCGAAAAGGAGCACGTACACCAGGCGGTGGAGGAAATGTTAGCGGCGGATATAATTTCACCATTAACCAGCCCCTGAGGAGCCCCTGTGGTGTTGGTTAAAAAGCAACATGGCAGCTTACGGTTTTGCGTCGACTTTCGTAAGTTGAACAAAGTCTCTGTAGCAGACACTTACCAGCTGCGACGTATGGACGATTCCCTAGACGCGTCGGGCGCTCGGTTTTTCTCCACATTTAACCTATTGTCGGGATTATGGCAACTTCCCTTAGATGAGTCATCCAGGCCGAAAAAAATGCCCCAGGGACTATTCCAGTTAAATTATCTTCCGATGGGATTGCATTTGGCACCGGCCACTTTCCAACGACTCATGGAGTTGGTGCTGGCAGGACTGCAGTTGGATTCCTGCCTTATTTACCTAGACGACATCATCGTATTTGGCCACACGTTCGAGGAGCATTTGCAGAGGTTGCGGACAGTGCTCTCCAGGGTACGGTCGGCAAATCTGAAATTTAAACCAGCCAAGTGCCATTTGTTAAAGACCTAGGTGTGATATTTGGACCACATTGTTAGTGTTAATGGAATAGCGACGGATCCGGACAAAACGGCATGCGTATGTGATTGGCCAACCCCCAAGTCGGTGGGTGAAGTACGCAGTTTTGTTGGGTTTGCGTCATATTACCGACGGTTTGTTCCGCAGTTTCTGACGGTTGCAAAACCCTTACATGCCCTGACGGATAAAAATCAGAAGTTTAAATAGGGCCAAGAGGAGGAGGCCGTATTCGCTGCGCTATGCTGCGCCATCGCCTTTCCAACGCGCTTCCTTTTGACCACCCAGATTTTTCCCTACCATTCATACTGGACACGGATGCTAGTGACATGGGCATCAGGGCTGTCCTGTCCCAGGTAAAGAACGGGGTTGAAAGGGTGATCGCATATGGGAGTCACGTCCTGTCAACTGCTGAGCAGTGGTACTGGGTCACCTGCAGGGAACTGTTGGCCAAGGTGTACTTCATCCAACAGTACAGGCCTTATCTTTATGGCAAAGACTTTGTAGTCCACACGGACCACGTGGCCCTCTAGTACTCTCCGAGAGTGGACCAGCCTTCTGGCCAGCTCTCATGCTGGTTGGAAATACTCCAGGAGTATTCCTTTCGAGTGGTTTACCGCAAGGGTGTGAGGCACTGTAATGCCGATGCATTATCCCGCTTGCCGCTGAACAGATGCTGTGCATGCTCGTCGGGCGCAGGCCGGTGTAAACAGCCTAGGGCTGGGCCACCGGGGGTTGTAGCGGCCTTGAGTTACCCCGCCACCAGCCGTGGAGGTCGCACATAGGGACGACACGTTGGGCCTCTCGCATGCCGAATGGGGCCAGCTACAGATGGAGGATGTCTCCCTGTTGAACTTGCAGTGCCACGCAGAAACTGACCACAAGAACTCCGGGCCTAAGGGAGTCTCGCAGTCCGTCCATCGGGAAGGTCTGCTGATGAGGTGGCAGGAGATTTCGCGACGCCTGTGCATTGTGGTCCCCACTTCCCTGCGAGGCTGATTAATGCGGGCAACGTATGAAGAGAAGTTGATGCACCTCGGGCATCGTAAAACTTTGTTAACCGTGCAATGAGACTTTTATTGGCCGGGAATGTCAAACGATCTCTTCCATTTGATCAAAGGTTGTCCTGATTGCGCGGGCCGTAAGCTGCCATCGCAAAAATCTCAACCCCCATTACAATCCATCACGGTGTCCCGCATTAACGAATTGGTTGCGCTAGACATCATTGGGCCCTTCCTGGCTACGCAAAAGGGGAATAAGTTTCTCCTAGTCGGGATTGAGTATTTTTTCCTTTTGGCCAATGGCTTGGCCATTGCCCAACCAAACGGCTGCATCCATAGCCGATGCATTTTTTCACGGCTATGTGATGGATAAGGGGGCCCCCCGAGCAGCTTCTCATGAACTAAGGTTGAAATTTCTCGTCCAAGCTGCTGCGAAAAGTGTGCGATGTACTGGGCACAAAAAAGATTAGAACACCGCCATACCATCCCCAAACGGATGGTATGGTGGAACGCCTGCACAGAACCCTGAAATTGATTCTCTATCAGGCAGTTAATGAGGCACAGACGGATTGGGATTTGCACGTTCCGGGAGTCTTGGCTGCATACAGGATGGCCCCACACGCCTCAATGGAATTCTCCCCGTTTTTTCTCATGTACGGGCGGGAAAACGAACCCCCCATTGAGGCACACTTGTGTATGGCCTCGGGGAAGAGGAAAGCAGCCATCCCAGTTCCCCTGCAGGTCACGTTGCGTCGTGTCTTTGAAGCTCGTGAAGTGGCCAGAGAAAATATTGCTAAGATGCAAGCTGCTAACGAAAAGAACGCGGAGCAGCGCGAGCATGTGCTTAAATGGGCAATTGGGGACAGGGCCTGGTTATATTGCCATCAGGTTCTGCTGGGTACGTCCCCTAAATTACATTGGCTATGGCAGGGTCTTATCGTGGTGGTGGAAGTCAGGAGGCCTCAGTGTGTGAGAATTCAGGCGGGACGCCGCCGTTGGTTCGTTCACCCATTGCACCTGACACTATATGCTCAGCCTCCTGCTGACAGCTCACCCCCAAACTCTCTGCCACCGATATCTGGTGTGTCGGACGAGCCGAGAAATCGGCCAAGGAAATTGTGCCTCAGTAAAAATGCATTGTGCCGCCCACAGTTTCCAAGTACCTGAAGTCCCTAGAACCTCAAGAAACCCCCACGTGCGATGTACCGCTGGCTGGAGCCCGGTCAAATTCCTCCGCAGAGTCCAGAGATGAGCCTACTCCTTCAAGGCTTTTGTGCAAGCCCCCATTGCCCAGAGACGCACAGAGCGATGGACCGGCGCCAAGGACCTGGTCAAAGTGTCTATGCTTCCACTAAGCGGATCTCCCATGGTCATGCTGGGGTGTTTTTTTTTACATGCGGGGTTTCTGCCCCTAACATTCGTCGGTCATCGGGGTGTTTATTTATGCAGTTCATCTACCCTAAATGTTCGTCGGTCGTTGGGTCGGTTATTTATGCAGTTCAGCTGCTCTAATGTTCATCGGACGTCGGGTAAAATTTTGTTTTGTTTATGTTACTGATGCGATTCTTCGGGCCCTGACGCGGGACACTTGTTATGAGCCGAGACGGTTGTTTTTTTTTAGAAGGGGGGGGGGGGGGTGATATAGGGACAGTGCGGTGATAGAGACAGTGCGTGGGTGGAGACAGTGTGGATGTGGAGACAGTGCGGGTGGAGGGACAGTGTGTTGCCCAATGGTCACATGAGGTAATCACAGAAGGGGAACCATCTGGGAAGTTTGGGAATCGGCCAGAACGTTCGTGAAACGGGGTGTGGTTGGGGGCAGAGTAAGGGCCACGCCAGGAATAACAGGAGGCGAGAGGCAAGGGTCGGAGCTGCAGTGGGATCAGGGTCGACTGTCTTCACACCGTCGCTGTCTTCACGCCGTCGCTGTCTTCGCGTCGACACTACTTGTGTGCCAACCCTGGCCCAAGTTACCTGTGTCTTATCCCTGGCCCAAGTGATCTCTGCGTTATCCCTATTCAAGTCGCAGTTACCTGCGCCAAGTGCCCTAAATAATAAAGAAAACCTCTACATTTCAAGTTGTCCGAGAGTCACTACACATGGATACAACCTCACGACGATAAATTACAACCCGAAATGTGGCTCGGCCATATATGTGAAGAACACCATCACAGAGTTCTACACCTTCCCACCAACTGAAAAAGAAGCCACCAGCATGAAGATAGGGGAACTGCACATGTACCATACGCTAACCAATTGCAAAAGGTACCTATCAAGACCAAAACAAGGGTCAACCTGGTCTTGAAACAGGCAAGCACAAGCTGGGGAGCCATCAACACTAGTGCTATGGACATCAACGATGTCCCTTGTATATTCTGTAGCCGAATACTGTGCACCAGTATGGACCAGAATTAGTGACACTCGACTTGTTGATGTCCAACTGAACACTGCAATATGGTGTATCACTGGAACTCTCAAGTCGACCCCAACATTGTGGCTGCCTGTGCTGTCACACATCTCTCCCCCACTCATCCAACGCAACGCTGCAAACTTCCGGGAAACAGTCGCCTTTAAATTCATCAGGACCTCAACGTTCCTTGTCATCGTTTGGAGTCACACAAGCCCTTTTGGACCCATGCGCTTAACCTTCAACAATGCGAGTTCAACCCCAATGAAGCTTGGAGAGCTGAATGAAGTTCAAAATAACTCAAAAACACCTTGTGAAAGACCTAATGCAGAAGATCCCTGGATTTGATCTTCCATGAAGCTCATCGTCCACCCTAAACCGTATCCGCACAAACCATGGCAGATGCGGATACCTGATGTACAAATAAAAAATTATCCCAGTGTGCAACCGTGGTCATCCAGAACAGGCGATACAATATATAACGGTGCAATGCCCGATTCACGAGTAAAAAGGCACCACAGCGATACACTCCGCTGCTCCTGATGCGGTTATCTGGCTTGCCTATCTGAATGTGAAATTGTAGTTGTTGCTCTGCATCTACATCAGTCATATGAAATAAGAAAAGTCACATTGATTAAAAGGTTATTGCCCTCAAGTCGAGTCTGTGGGTCTCTGCGAGTCTATCGGTTTTTAAAGAACCAGTTGAATAACACACAGCTAAAACCCACAATCTCAGAAGTGACAGCTCAGTGTCTCTGACACAGCTATTATGAAACCAATGAATGATATCCAGACCTATGGCTTGAACCCAGGATCTCAGCATTATCCCTGGCCTCCGAGCAACTTTAAACCTGTCCGCAACAGTCGGCCTGTGGCTGCATTTGCAGTGCTAAATGTAGGACTGCCCACACTTGATTCTCTGCCTTCATTGCCTTAAATCAACAGCAATGATTTACCTTAGCAGGCCCCACCTCCTTCCACTTTAGGTCCCTGCTCCTGAGGCACCGTCTCTTCCTGAGCAGGCTCCAGTCCTTTAATGCTACGCCTTTTCCTGTTTAGGCACCACCCCTTTCCTCTGGACATGGGGTTGGGCATGGGGGCATGAAGTGTGCATGCAAAGCAGTAGGCAGTGGTGGCTAGCGACAATAGGAGTGACTGCACGACAATCAAATCCCTTGGAGCAATGATATAATCACACCACAGACAGGACTGATGCTTGTAGAATCTTTATTTTCTCACTAGGAGGTCCGATTTGTAATATCGGTGAACCCATAAGCCAGAGGATTAGAGAAGAGGCCAAGAAACCACCACCTCAACCATCTCCACTACCACCATGCGATCAATCACAACTTGAGTGTCAACAAGCACCACACATCATCAACCATGATCACAACCACTTCAATCACCATTAACTCAACCATCACCACCAATTCAATCAACCAAGGGTACCATATCTTCAAAGCAGTACAGGCTATTATCGTTTGCAAATGTTAGCAGTAATAGGAGTACTATTATCACCATCACACACCGGCTGTCCTCATGAAGCAACTACAGATTGAGAGAGACACGGCTCGGTGTGAGTGAGCAGGTGGGCGAGCGCTTGTGTGTGTGTGTACGAGTGACTGAGTTGGTGGGCAGAGTGTGTAGGTAAATGAATGAGTGTCGTATGCGAGGGTGAGTGAGCGAGTGTGTTTATGAATGAATGGTTTAGTGGTGGGGGGGGGGGGTGTTTGAGAGTGGGAGAGCACCTAGCTGCAGTCTCCCAGAGTGAGTCTCTCATAGAGGTACTCGCCCAAGCCAGACTGGGGAACGCCCAGCCGCTTCAGATTGGTGATGTGGTCGCCCAACTTTTTGATAGACTCCACCTGCTCCTCCAGGAAGTCCTTCAGGAATTCACACAGCTGAGACATTGTGAGGGGAGAGAAGAGGTGGAGGGGAGAGAGGAGGTGGAGAGGACATGTGGTGGAGGAGAAGAGGTGAGAGGATTTGGTGACGGGATGAGAGAGGAGAGAGGGAGGAAGAGAGTGGATGGTTAAACAAGTGAAGACTTCATAATAAAGGTTTTTGGGTTAGATCGTGTAAGTATAAATGTGTCAACCCTCCACCACTCGACACAGCCAGTAAGGTTTGTCGCATAAACAACGCACCAATAAGTTACTACTTCAGCCCACTGGTGTGTTGGAGAATAAATACACAACATTTACAATTTGAATGACGTTTTGCTGGTAATTACATCCAACATCATCGGGCGATTTGCCAGAATAGTGAAACAATCCACCTGCTTCCAGTCTTAAAAATAGCAAGATCATGATGTTTAGAGATCAGAGGCCATGGGATGGGGGGGGGGGGAGTGATGGAGCTATATATATAGACAGACACAATTTCAACCGAGCTGATGGGTACAGACTGAGCAATCATTGGAAGGACGTTATCAACCAGTTTAAGCCATAATTGTCTATGATGTTCCCATCCTACCACCTTCCGATGTTAGTTGTGCTTTACGCCCACTTCAAACTTGCGCTTTCACAGTCACTTTGCGCGCCGACCCCTTTGTTGCGGCTCTGCGATTCTCATTAACATGATAATCTCTCTTTAACATGCTAATTTTCACCTGGCAGCCCTTTGATTGGTGGAAAACGAACCACCGCCGGGCTCGCTGCCGAACACTTACATAATCATTGGCTGCTGACATTTGGGCTACACCCATTTCAAACCCTTATAAACAGTTTCCCTTGGAAGCTAACCCCCCCTTTTCCTGAAGACAACCGCTTGCGTTGCGATCGAAACGTAGTTCTGTTATTTTTAATTATTTTCTTTGAACCTATCTACGTGACTTTACCGAAAGACCCAAGAATATGAGTGGGGGGAGGGGGGGGGGTTATTGCAATTATATAATAGATTAGTAATCAGTTAATTAGCATGTATTTCCTCTATAAGGAATGCAGTTATAAGATCTATTACTTAATAATACGCTTCCGGGCCGCACTAAGCCTGTAGCTGTCAGAGTGGTTAAAATTTTAGTATTTCTCTCAATTTCAATGGATTCCCGAATTATGGTAGTCTCGGCCAGTAATAATTAGTTATATAAAAATCAATTGAGTGTCCTTCATATCAATTCCCAACTAATAACGAACAATTTAAAAGAAAACTAATTAACTTAATTAACACTTATTTAACCAGTGGCATGATATCGTCTTTAAAGGTCTTAACTTTGCAGTTGCCCCACGTACAATTCCAGTAGATGAGATCATTGCTGAGGTGGAATCAGCGGTACAACACCGTCCACATAATGAGGCAGAGATTATTAGGTGCGAGGTTGACAAAATAATTGAGAATAGATCTCACCCCAAACACCTTTATACCTACTAGAATCACCCAGGAATGTCTATTGTTAACGCTCGTGACGTCACTCCACATCGACCAGCCCCCCTCATTAATATTCATGAGCAGGTGACGTCTTCCAAATGGACACCCCCCCACCCCTCATTAATATTCATGAGCAGGTGACGTCCTCCAAATGGACACCCCCCCCCCCCCCCCCCCCCCATTATTCTTACCTACTATAATGAGCCAAGAATGTCTGTGTGCAAAGCTCGTGACGTCACTCCACGTCGACCAGCCCCCCTCATTAATAATCATGAACAGGTTACGTCCTCCACATGGAGCACCCTCCCCCCTCATTAATAATCATGAGCAGGTGACGTCACTCCACATCGAACAGCCCTTCTCATTCATAATCATTAACAGGTGACGTCCTCCAAATAGACCCCCCCCCCATTCATAATAATTAGCAGCTGACGTTACTCCACATGGGGGGCCGAGGTGCCTCCTCATCCCTCCTCGGCGTCAACTTGCAACCCTCACTACAAAGGCAGAACCCTCACATCACGCGATCTCTGTAACGTTATTGAGACATCAAAGTAAAAAGGACATGATGAACAAGGGATTATAACCTTAAAATGAAATAGGTCTGTGTCACCGCGCCCTTACAAATTGCACACGAATTAATGCAATGAATATCACGTCGCGGTCTGCTTTTAGCTTGCAAGTTTCAGATTTACTGCAATTCACCCTTCCTTGGACGGGCAAAAGGCTAGTTACAAATAATATTGGTCGCGAAAGCCTACGTGTTAAAGTGAAGACTTGTGGTGAAAATTCACCAGTATCTGTACAAGTCGAGACTCATCTCGAGGCATGCATCTGTGTGCATCTCTGAGCATTGTCTGTGTGTCTCCGTGTTGGAGTCTCCAAGTCTTGTCTGTGTGTGCGATTCTGTGTACTCACCTGTGGGTCATTTTTCTCGCGAGCCTGCCCATGTAGATCCAGGAGAGATTGGTTGATGCTCTTCTGCAGCTGCAGAGCAGTCTGCATGGCCTCCAAAATATGTCCCCAATCATCACGTTCCGGCGTCTACACAGAGATATACAAGAGGTATATGAAGACAGAGATACACAGATACACACACAGATATCTAGTTACTCAGAAACACACAGAAACAGTCATACAACAATAACTTGCCATTCACCACTAAGTGGCGGTGATGTCACCATGGCGTTTGTGCCGGGCTATGTGCACGGTGAGGCAACGTGAAGTGTCGAACGCCCGCTGGCAGGTGCCACGGGTCGACTGACTGAGATGACTGGCCGATGCACCACCTGTGCCCCCTACTGTGCCAACTTGCTGTGCTTTAGCCACCTGGTGCGCCACTCCTTATTGTGAGCATCGCTCCTCTGCCCTCCGTTGTTGCTGGAGGGCGACTGCCTCCAACTGCCCAGTAGCGTCCTTCAGGAGCCTCCTCCACAGAGGCCGATCTTGACACTGCTTGTACCAGTCATGGGCAAGTCCACTCAGCTCCGCGTCCGCCTGTACCACATCACTCAATCTCTTCTCTAGCCCGTGCCGCACCCATTTAGCCCCTTCTATCCGGCTGAATAAAAGCTGTTTAGGCATGCGGTGGCTGGGCATACGGGCTACATGACCCAGCCTAGCACCTGTGACAGGAGGTCATAGAAGGCATCTGACTCATCGGCCTTGCCTGCATCCATCCACGGATGTTCATCTTCGGTTGGGGCATAAGTAACCACGACCACCACTCCTCACTTCTGGTTGATGGGAAGACGAGCCCAAAGTAGCCTGGGGATTACAGCTTCCCTCACCGCCATGCTCCCACGCCCCCTTCATTCTTTTGTTCAGAAGAGCCACTCCCTGTTATTTGGCATTCTCCTTCCCCGAGTCGAGTACTGTCCACCCCTCATGGTGGCAGGAGCCAGAACCGGTCCACTGGACCTCCTGAATACCACGAGATCCAGGCGGTACCGGTCCAGCTCCGAACAGAGGAGTGGCAGCCTTTCCTCTGCAGTGAGCATTCGAACATTCCACGTGGCCACCCGCAGTGGTTTTTTTTCTGTTTTTGGAGGAACCCCGACGGTAAGGATTCCATCTCCTGGCTCTGCCAAATGGGGTTTGGCCAGGAGACGTCATAGACGCCTGTCCCCCCGGGGCCTCCGGCACACGCTTTTTATGATATTTTTTCCGTGGTATCGTGTTGATTTATTTGAAGATGGAGGGGTTACCAGCCCCTCGCACCCGTTCAGAAGCCCCCATTTGGCCGCTGTGGTGGCTACAAACGCCATGAGAGGAATGGCCAATCTAAATTGGCCCTCCCCCCATGGCACTGCTCACCACAGCGTTGCCATCCGGCACCAACGAGGACACAAAGTCACACACACACAGGTACAAATACACCGATGGAGAGATACGCAGAACATTGACACTGGAGCTACTTTTTAAAATGTTAATATCACTGCCACATTTTGTGAGGGCTCCTCTTTTTTATTAATATAGTAGAGGTTTTAGGATCCATTTTCTCTCCCATGCAATTATCTCAATATTATAGGGCACCAACGTACTTAAACGGCCACAAAAAGATGTACAATAACTCAATCAGAAATACAGAGAATCTTATGATTTTTAATTTATTAACGATGCCTTGATTCGTTATACACTATTGAAATACTTTGCACAAGGATACGAATCAACTGTGGCGGATAATTTCCTAACAACCAAGTACAACTAACTCTTAAAAACTCTCGCCAATGTTAACATCACACATCTACACAGCGCCCCACGCACGTCAACAATTACAGAACACAGAGTACAACCGACTCTTAAAAACTCTCGGCAACAGCAACAGCCTTAACACAGCGCCCCATGTGTTGACAATCACAAACACCGTGGCTGCAAAACAACAGAAGAACGTGACGACCGTTCATACCAACCCTCATGCACGCTCCACTCTTGGGCAATAAGGCAACACAGCACAAGTCCAGGGTACGTAACGGCAATCTCAGGACGTGGCTGGCGACATCAACAGTGCTCTAAACAGCTCAACACAGCTGGAGTCTCGGGTTTTTGGTTGGCGCCATCAATAGCGCTCCGAACAAATCAAAAGCAACTGCAGTATCGGGAATGGTTGGCACCATCAACAGCGCTGTGAACAACTTAAAGCAGCTGCAGTCTTGGTCACTGAGCCGCTGGTCTTCTCCAAGAGTCTCCTTGGTTGTGGTGAGCATCGACCATCCGTCCTTCCTCAGGCGAACGCCGACCACCCGGGCAAATGCCGACCGCCCCAGCAAACGCTGAACACACTGTGCCCCCCGAGCTAATGTTGACCGCTCCCGGCGAACGCTACACACACCTCTGCCCTCGTACACGGGTAGCGCTCACCTTAATACACGGATTCAATCCCGCCCTCACAGCCTCTTTCTCTCTGCCCTCCCTAGCAGTCAATCAGCTGCCTGTTGCTCGGTGCAATTACTCCATCTCTCGTTCCTCAGGCCCTGTCAATCAACTTGGTTCGTTCAGCGTCTTCCAATCAGAACCTCGTTAATTCGTTATATTAAACCAAATTGTTGTTGACCACACTTGCCACAAATCACGCATAGCCCTGTAGACTATCCCTACACCTCACGCCAACTGGCCTGCCTTGACTGGCCAATTCGTGTCCCAGCCCCAGTCAAGGTCAGACTGAGTGGCACCGTTTCTTTCGGAGGTGGAGGCTTTTGGGGGATTTTCCCCATAACCGCTCACCCCCCGTACCTCATGTAACCACGGCGACCTCGGTTCACGATGGCGCTCGTCCACACCGCTTCACATTTCTCAGGGATATCATCATGGCCATGTTAGCCAAGGAACTGGAGAGATCCTGGGTTCAAGCCCTGGGTGTCTCTCAAGAGGAGGTTCATTATGGCCATCCCTCTCTCGAGGTTAATGGCAGTGTTGGGTTCCTAATATTTATTTAGCGAATGCTTTTACACATGACATTCTCACAGTACCAAATGCATAAGAAAAATTATGTATTATATAAATGCATACATGTTAATGTGCCAGCCTCCTTGTGGCAGCCTCCTCCTCCACCCAGCATGCCCTGACGGACTTTACAGCTGTAGTGTTGTAAGGACGAGCAGACTTCTTTAGGAGGCACACTCTGTTTATTGTATTATTTCCTTATACAACGCTTAACACACACAGAGGGATATTCGGTCCCCTCACCCGATACCCTAGGGAGGTACAGCCTCCGGACTTGGCGGGACTCACACGTCTACCGCTAACCTCCTTGATACCTAAGGAGGTACAACCTCCGGACTTGGCGGGACTCACACGTCTACCGCTATCCTAGTCCTCCGGCTAGGACCTAGGGGAGGCTATCTGACCCACCGCTGGCCCGGTGGGTCCTGACCACTGGGTATGCCGAGCCTTAGCCCTTAGAAGGGCTGAAAGGCTGGTCCAGGGTCCTAGCTAGGCTTCAGCCCAGTCTTCTGTCTTCGTGCAGGGAGCGAACTCCCCCAGGTCCGTTGGGTCACCCGTCTTATACCCCTTCGTGGCCAGGTAGAACCAATCATACATTCCCACGTGGAACCGTCTGATTGGTTCGCACCAAACCCTGGCCACGATCCGTTTCACCTTGACTGACCCCAACCGTTGTACCCAGGGGTAATGCTGCACCGCCCTGGTGGCAACGCAGGTTACGCAACAGCGCGTAGTTAACACCTCTACATCACCCCCTCCTTCGGAAGCTCCAGCCGTCCCGGCTGCAACAATGGGAAACTCCGAAATTACCAATGGTAGAAGAATTGTGAGTGTGCCTCACGAACAACAAGAACAATTAAACCCCTATAAATACCCCCCTTAACAACATAACGTATGTACAAGGCACTAGACATGCCAAAAAAACATTATAACAACCAGCGAGATTTCGCGCGCGTGCGTTTCGCGGGACCATCGTAGGGGATGGCAGGCTTTGTCGGCGGCACAAGGGAAGGAGGAGGATGAGCCAGAGCATCCGGTGGGCCTTTATGCATCTCCACGGGGACACCTGCTGCTCCACGGTCCATTGAGGCCGAACGTGGCCTGCATGGAGCCGTCACTCCCGCGTCATCTGCAGGAGGAATGACACGCCTGCGCTGCGGGTTAGGCACCAACGGGGCAACATCTGGCTCGTCGGACGCGTCGCACACTCGGCCCCCATGTCGTGTGTGTTGTGGAGGGACGCGTGGCATGACGAAGGGTTTTAACCGAGAGGGGTGAACGCACCAGCGACGCCGTCCCCAGCTAATTTTAACACATTGGGGACGCAGGACTTCCACTACCTCAACCGGGCCTCGCCATGGTCTGAGGAGTTTGGCCGACGTGGACACCGGCACCTGGGGGCAGTGGAGCCATGCCCTGTCTCCCGGTGCCCACCGATGCGTGTACGACCGAGGGTCCCGCAGTCGCAAATTCGCCCTTTGGCGGGAAGCCGAATTTTCAATGGCGGCCTCCCGTGCCTCGGCCAACTTACGGAGGTTGAATCGCAAGTGGTCAACGAGCTTTGACTTTTGCGGTGGCTGTTCGATTTCCAGCCGAACGTCGGTGGGAGGAAAGGCATCCCTGCCGTACATTAGAAAGAACGGGGAAAATCCCGTCGCCGCGTGAGGTGCCATACGGTATGCGGCGAGGACCCCCAGAACCTGCAAGTCCCAATCGAGGTGGGATTCATCGACCTGATGGCATAACATAGCGGTGAGAGTTCTATGAAGGCGCTCCACCATGCCGTCGGTCTGGGGATGGTAGGGCGAAGTGCGCACTTTCTTAGTGCCCAACAGGCGGCACACATCAGTCAGCAAGGCTCCTGAAAAATGTCTTCCCTGATCGGTCAGCAACCGTTCTGGTGCGCCCTTGTCCAGGACGTAGCCTTGAACAAAGGCGTCCACAACGGCCGCCGCCGACTGGTTGGGGAGGGCCCAGGCCATAGGCCACCGTGTAAAATACTCTACCCCAACCAGAAGGTACTTATTACCCCGTGGCGTAGTAGGAAAAGGGCCCAAAATATCGAGAGCCACCAACTCATTTATACGAGAGACCGAAATGGG